GATAGAATATTTTATATTTTGACCAGAATACTATCCCGACAAAATTATTGGAGCACTAACATTTTAATGTTTTTTAAAATCAATGTGGGGGAGAAGAATAAATGATTCTTAATATTTTAAAATTAAAATTTACAATCATAAAGATTTAGGATCACTAATTTAATATTTTGTTTTTTAATAATGCAAGAAAAAATAATAATTGTTTATAATCATCGTAGGGGGTAGTTGGGATTATGGATGAGAAGAATCTTATTTTTAATTACTATCTCTGTCTCTGAGTATCTGTCAAGTTTTGACTTTTTCTGATTAATTTTTTTCAATATTTGGCTTATAATTAAATAAAATATATTATATATTAAGTAGATAGAATAATATTTTAAAAAGGAATGATATAATACATCAAGTAAAACTAATTTTGTATTTATACAAGGAGAAAAATTATAAATTTGTAGAAATACTTAAAACTTAGATCATTTATATTTAATCTTTAAATAATATGCCAAATAAAAATCAAGATCTACATTATAGAATCAAAAAGAATTTTATCAGAACCCTTGCGTGGCAGGTTAAAATACTAGTCACTCTATTCTTAAAAGCAAGGGAATTATTTTCTCGCCCAATGCACTCATCTCCTGCACCGTCGATATCAAGGAACAAACAAGATCTACGGCTATGATTGGTTGTGTAATATTACCTATTTAGAATGATAAATTAAAAGAAATTTTGCATGCATAATCACTCTATTCTGATAAAAAAGGAAGGGAGTAATTTGTTTCCTAACAAATTTCACCTAATTAATTGATTGTGATAAAAAAAGAAGGAACGGTGCAGGAGATTTTTTATATTTTATTTCCTTTTTAAATAGGTAATTATTTACGCATAATTATTACTACTATTATTATTATTATAATTACTTGGAATAATTTACGCCTGATTATTTTATCAAAAAGTAATTATTTATGCCTAATTAAATAGGTAATTATTTACTTAATCACTCTATTCTTAAAAAGAAAATAATACTTTTAAGAATAATAGAATGATAAATTATATTAAAAGAAATTTAGAATGCATAATTACTTAATTCTGATAAAAAAGGAAGGGACTAATTTCGCAAACAAGATCTACGTTGTTTCCTTTTTAGAATAATTCCGCATGCATAATTACTTAATTACTCTATTCTTATTTAGAATGATAAATTAAAGGAAATTTCGCATGGCTAATATATTTCTATAAAGGAAAAAAAATATGAAAAATATTATTTATATAAACTTCTTTTCTAATGCCGAACTTTTTTACAAAATTGGAATTGATATAATAAAAAAATGATTACCATTCAACTAAAAATAATATTTGTCCATAAAAGATAATAATCACGTTAAGCTGTAAATTTTTTAATCAATGCATTAAATTTATAATTTCATAATTTATGTAATTTCCAATTAAGAAACAAATCATTTTAATCATACAAACCATTTGTTTTCTTTTGGGAAAGAAATCAAATCTAAAAGAAATGTCAAAGTAATGCATAGAAATGGTGATACATATAGTAAGTGTTGAATAAATAAATGATAATTAAATCATAAATCACCGTATAATAAGAATAGATCATGTATTATCGTATAACAAGAATAATAATATTAATATATCGTGTAATAATATTGCCGTATTTAATCATTATTAATTTATTACCATGTAAGAAAAATTATAATAATATACTGTGTAATAAAATTACCGTACTTAGTCATTATTATCGTCTAATAATTCTAACATGGCCAATTTAAAAATGTTTCCATTTAGAGAACATGGCCAAACTTAATATTACCATATTTAATCATTATTAATTTGTTACGGTGTGATTATGTTAAGAAAATAAGCTTTCAATTTAATTATGTTGCCATTTAGAGACTCGGTGCCAAATATTTTATAAAGAAATTTAAATATATAAGTTTATGCATTTAAGGAAGACACGATTAAAAAAATCAAAATAAAAAATAATAAAAGAAATTAAATACTCCCTCTATCCCATGAAACATTGGAGTTTTGCTTTTTAGGAGGGATTTAAGGGGAGTGTATTTTGGTGTTGAATTTCCAAAAATGTCCTTTGATGTGATGGGTAAAAGTATGATTTGATGGATAAATTATTAGTAAAAAGGTATGATGTGATAGTTAGGGTATGAAAAAGTAAGGGGTAAAAGTGGCGTTTTAATAGAAATGAGAAGTGTTTTGTGGGACAGATAAAAAAAGAAAGGAGAAAGGTTTTATGGGACGGAAGGAGTATAAAAATGTCAAAGTAATACATAGAAATGGTGGCACATATGTTAAGTGTTGAATATAGAAATAATAATTAAATCATAAATTACTTTGTAGCAAAAATAAATCATGTATTACCGTGTAGAAAAAATAATAATAATAATATACCGTGCAATAATATTAATGTATTTAATCATTATTAATTTATTGTTGTGAAAGAATAATAATAATAATAAAAGTATGATGTGATAGGTAGGGTATGAAAAAGTAACGAGTAAAAGTAGTTTTTTAATAGAAAAAGGAAGAAGTTTGTGGGACAAAGAAAAAATCAAAGGGGAAGATGTTTTAGGGACGGAGGGAGTATTAGATAAGAAATTGTATCCTTCAAAAATGATCTAAATTTAATAATATAAGTATGACCCGTGCAACGCACGGGGGTATGCTAGTTTAAATAAGAAAGAAAGAAAGAGAATGAATACAAAGACCCTAAATGGATAGAAGGGATGTGGGCCGGGCCTGCACGGGAAAAAGGGGAGGAAAAAATGGGTTGAAATTTGAAAATGCGGAACGAATATTGGAAAAGGATTGAAGGCGACCAAAACATGCAATGCTGGCGCTATGTTAAAAGAATCCAAACATTTGCTGACTTTTTTTTTTTGTTTTTAAACATTTGCTGACTTGATATCTTGGATTGTGTTTTGAAATTAAAAAAAAAAGAGGATGAACTCAATTTTATGGCCCCTATGGCTCTATGAATAGTTGTAAAAAATTACATTTAATATAATTATCTTTTATCACAATTGTCTTGCTAAATGTGTTACGTCTCTAGCGCATTATGAATAAAGGTTAATAAATCCCCCCTTCATTTCGATTTAACGGGAACATTTTGATACCTAAGAAGATAAACAGAAGGTTACGGAGCAAAAAAAAGAGTCTTTTACACTTGTTTTAAAGAAAGAAAAAAACTATTGATATCATATTCTTTATCATTGTAGAAAAAAAAAGGATATAATCTGGCAGGGTTGTTTTTTATATTTTATGGGTCATAAGCCAAATAGAAAAGGGAGGGCAATCTTTGAATTAAATTTCATTTTGCAAACAAGTGTTTTTGGGCTACTCAACATGCAAAGATAGATTATTTATTCTTATATAATTTTAAAAGAGAAATAATTCTAGCACTTGATTGAGTAAAAAACTAAGTTTATCCTCCTAGCTACTTCAATGTCGTGCAAGGAAGACTACAAATGGAGACTGAACCAATAGAAGAATATGAAACAAAGTGTAGAAATGAAAGACGGCTTTCATAACTTTTTCTTTTTTTATTTGGCTAAACATATAAGTAATAAGTTGATTAAGTGTGAATTTTAACCTTTTAAGTGTTGCTTCCTAATGTTTTCAAAAAATTATTTTCATAATTTATCATAGGATACAAAAATTTGCCCACATTGCCACATAGATAACAGGCCCAAAGGGGTACCCATCTAACCTATATAGGATTGGTTTATTTATAAATGTGAAATCGTTTAGTTTGATTTGTTTAAAGTTAGTCTATATTGTTAAATTATTGTTTATTAAAAATGTTATTTTAAACTTTTTTTAAATCATTAATAATAACTCTATTAAATATCAAAAGAATTACCATCTTCGTCTCTAAATATTTGCCACATTTATATTTCCGAGGCAAAATATCAAGTTTTTTCAATTCATTTTATTTACATATTGGTATAAAAATAAAAAATAAAATTTACATATTAAAAACCAATCAAAACGTAGAAATAAACAAAAATTCCTGCGACTGCTGAAAAAACAAATGTTGTAAATATTTTGGGACGAATGGAGTATCTTCCATTGAGATTCGAACATGACCACCCGTGTAGAATAGTCACAATGATGATGTTAGATCATTAGATCTTTGGTAACTTTTTTCTTTTTAAATGAGAAAATTTGAAGATGTCTAGATGGCTGGCTAGACGAGTAGATGGGGTTTAAAATCTTAAAATGTGATAAGATTCTGTAGACACTGAATTCTAGTGTTGACAAAATCGCTCATTTGGAGTTCCTTTAATCATAGGTTCCCAAAATGGATGGTTTCTATCTTTCTCTAAACCTCCTCCCACACCTTCACCAAGCCTGACCCCTGTGCCCTCACCTTAGATCCATCTTTTATCCCTCCAAGTGTGTGATTATTATGCATTATATAATAACTACACATTTGGGGGGTAAAGAGAGATCTAAAGTGGGGTGCAGAGGTTGAGTATCGGAAATAATTCTAGGATAAAGCTATTTGTACCCCAACATTTTGTACCCCACATATTTGCACCAACATTTTGTGTTGGAAAGAGCCTCCCTACTTCCGAGTAGGGGTAAGGTCTGCGTACACACACCCTCCTCAGACCCTACTGTAGTGGGATTCAACTGAGTTGTTGTTGTTGTTGTGTATTTTGTGTTGGTGTAAAACTAATTTTTGTTAACGCACCAACACTTTGTGTCCGTGTAAATTTTTGTTAACGCACCAACATTTGTGTTGGTATAAACCATCAAAATATTTGTATATAACTACGGTGTACAAATGAGGTACAATTTTTGGTGTAAATGTAGCATGGTCCATAATTCTAATGAGCAAGTCTCATACTTGACAACCCTTGACGTTGAATTTCAGTGTCAGCGGAACTTAACTTAAAATAATCCACTAGTTTTTTTTTTTGAAAATCTAATGCAAAGCATAACAAAGCAGCACTGAGACTCCCACTAAACCTTCCACCATCATCATGACCCTCAAGAACAAGTGAACATCCCATTAACTTCTTCCATTCATCCGCCCCCTTTTTTCCCCTTCCCAAAACCCATTTTTCCCTTCTTGAATTTGGGGCTATTTTGGTTGGGGTTTTCTGTTTTTAGGCCGTGGGGCTTGTTTGGGGGTGCCCAGTGAACTGTAAGTGGACTATCATGGGAAATTGCTGGTGTAAATGGGAGCCATCCATGTACAAGGTCTCATCTAATGCTAAACCAGGTGATTCCCTTTCTCTATTTCCCCTTTTCTTCATCTATATATCTATACACACACACATACATGTATCTGTTGATTTTTATTTTTATATGTCTGTTTGATTTTGGCATGATTTGAACACTTTTGAGGGTTTTTTATTTCTGTATCTTACATTATTGGATACTGTATATTCTAATTTTGCCCAAACTGAATCTTTTCTGGGGTTTTCTCTACTTTTTTGCTCTTATGAGTTTGGAAATATACTAAAGGTGGAATTTTTATGAAAATAAATGAAAAAAATAACTCCCCCCCCTTTCCTTCTTCTTCATGTGTACCTTCTTTTTGCCTTTTCTTGATCTTTGATGGTTCCCTGCCAAAAGGGGTAAATTGTTCATCTTGGGTGTGGGAGTTAGGTGATGTTTGCCAATCTGCTTTATAAATATAAGGAAAGCTACTGTTTTTTTTCTCCAACCTTTTTCTGATTTTGATAGTACTAAGAAATATCATCCATTATGTTGTTTCCTTTTTGTGGGTTTTATGTAAGATCTTGACTTGAATTTGTGATTTGATTTGGTTCAATATTCTTTTGGTCGAATTGAATGATTTCTACCCAGTCTTGAATTATTTTGCTATCGATGCTATAGTGTTGATTCGTGCATGATTTGGTACTTGGAGAGTTGCTTTTGTTTTCGAAATCGGTAAATTTCTACTCTTGTTTAGAGCTCACGAAGAATGAGAGTTCGGAAACGAAAGAAGAAACAAAGTTACCATCAAATCCAGAAGAGGTAGAAGACATGCGTCGCACTTCGTCTTCAAACCCGTTGATTGTGTTTAGATTTGATGAGTTGATAGCCATTACCAAGAACTTTAGACCGGATTATGTGGTCGGTGGCGGAGGGTTTGGAAATGTGTACAAGGGATTCATCAACGAGGATGTGAGGAAAGGTCACCAATCACTTGATGTTGCCGTTAAGGTTCATGATGGAGATAATAGCTATCAAGGTCATAGAGAATGGCTGGTAATCTTTTCATGTTTTATGATTTATTCCATGCATAATATAATGTGTTAGAGTATAAAACCTTTTGTGGGCTTACAATCACAAACTTAAGCTTTTGGTTAAATTTGTTCATTAATATGGCGGTTTACAGACCTGAAAATCAGTAGTTTGAACATTACTGCCACCCACCATAAGCTTGGATTGAGCCTTGAGTGTAAATGTTCTTGAGCAAAATGTTTTCATGTATTGAGAAAACATTTTCCACGAAAAATGGTTTCCTTCAAACAAATGAAGCCTTGATGGGATGTGTGATCTTGCTCACCGTAAATGTTTTGTTTTGTTTTTTTACACAGGCGGAAGTGATATTCTTGGGGCAGCTTTCTCATCCGAATTTAGTCAAATTGATCGGTTACTGTTGCGAAGATGACCATCGTGTGCTTGTATATGAGTACATGGCCCGGGGTAGCGTTGAAAGCAACTTATTCTCAAGTATGTATCACCCATTTCTATGAAGCTCGTCCTTTGCTATATATGGCCCGAGCCATTCAAAGTGGGTCCCGCATCTTGAACCGTGGGGCCCACGTGGATCCTCGGGCACTAACCCATAAAACATTTGAAGTCGTCTCATACTGAACGGGAAAAAAAACAGGAGTGTTGCCACCGCTTCCATGGTCTACTAGAATGAAGATTGCACTTGGGGCATCCAAAGGGCTAGCTTTTCTACACGAAGCAGAAAAACCCGTCATCTACCGCGACTTTAAGACATCTAATATTCTACTTGACCCGGTTAGTTCACTAGAATTGCCACATTTTATTTGTTCTTAGGGTAGAATCGTCTTTTAATATTGACATCGACATTGGAATATTGTTATTATGGTCTTGCCACATTTTACACTTGGACCTATGGAACATTTAAAACAGGAGTACAACGCAAAGCTATCTGATTTCGGCCTTGCGAAAGATGGACCGGTTGGGGATAAGTCTCATGTGTCTACCCGAATCGTGGGGACATACGGTTATGCTGCCCCCGAATATATCATGACAGGTAATTTTGTTTTTTTGTCAAAGAACCAACTCAAAAGATCATTTTTTTCAGACAAATATAAATGCTTTTATACTTTAACACGCATCTTCACGTGGAGGCTGGATTTGTTTACTCGAGACTTCTCCGTGAACATTAATTTTTTATTTTAAAATGGTGGTGGTGAAATGGAATTTTGACCTTTTAGGACAAAAAGATTTGATGCCCATTAAAGAATTAATTCGACCAAAAGCTGCTTGTATTCATACTCTAACGCGCCTCCTCACGTGCAGACGAATTCTGTTTGCTCGAGCCTTACACCAAAATAATACAGAATACATTTTTTTAATGACAATGTTGAAATTTGAACACGTGACTTCAAGTTCTATTTTTATACACTATCACATCTCACACGCATACAACATTTGTTTGCTCCAGCCTTACACGGGCATACTAATATACATTTTTTTGAAAAAAGTGACGGCTGTAAAATTTGAACTTGTGACCTCTATCAATGCTCAGGCCATTTGTCACCCCGAAGCGATGTGTATAGCTTCGGAGTCGTTCTCCTCGAGCTTCTCACGGGGAGAAGGTCCTTAGACAAAGTGAGACCAACGAGAGAACAAAACCTCGTGGATTGGGCTTTGCCCCTTCTCCGAGAGAAAAAGAAGTTGCTAAACATCATTGACCCGAGATTGGAGGGCAATTATCCGGTCAAAGCGGTTCACCGGGCCGCAACCCTGGCTTACCATTGCCTGAACCGCAACCCAAAAGCCCGGCCCCTTATGCGCGACATTGTCGATTCCCTCGAGCCGCTCAACGTTCCGTGTGACGGTCCGGTTTACCCAACGGCTGTGACTGTGATTAGGGATAATGGTGATGGAGTTACCCAAGTAAAACTGCCAAGTTAATACTGGAATCCTTTTAACCTTTTTGTTTTTAAGTATATACAAAATTACTTTATCATGTGTTAACATAGTATAATTGTGTACTTGTGGGTACACTTTTTAACATAGTATATATGTGTTTCAATATATGAAATGCATAAAATTTGTACCAAGTCTTCTTATAGTTGTTACCAAAGAGGAATGGATGATCTAAGAAGGTGACACCAATTTACTCATTTAATAAATTTATTTTGTCACTTTTTATTGATGCATGGAGTAGTTTCTAGATTTTCTGTTCATCTCAAATTAATTGGTTTATTTTGATTTCACGGAGATTAAGAAAAGTATTGAAAAGTAAAGAGTGAGTGTTAAGAATGTATTTAAAAGATAGAAAAATGTTTTAGATTATACTCCGTATTACAGAGTATTTTCTAGAAGTTTAAAAAGAGAAAAAAAGTGGAAAATTGTTTTGGGATTGATGAAAAAGAGCTTTGGATTTTTCTTGGGCAAAAGAAGTATAACTTTTTTTTTGAATTAGAAAAAAATTCAAACGTTAATTTAAAAATAAATTTATTCAAATGTTATTACGCAATAGGGAGATTTTTTAGACCAACGACCATCCTTGATGGGGAATATTTACTTGAATTATGACTAATGGATAATGATTAAAAGTGTTGTATTGGAAAAAATATATGTGATGTTATTTATGGAAAGTCATTACGTTTTAGGGTTATTTATATAAAATTTCCAAAATATAAATTGAATCATAATCTCAATTAGTTGGTGCAGGCTTGTAGGGGTGAGCTTCCATGCCTAATCTTGCAAAGACCTCATGTTTTGTATGGTTATCGACGTTTCGAACTCGAGATATTTCTCCTTTGAAGCACCTTTATGCCAACCGATTAACTAAGTTTCACCGACTAAATCACGTGTTGCTCCATTGAGTTAGGAGTAGTTACTAAATTCTGGTAGAATTATTGTAACATGAAAATCTAAAGTTTTTTATTTTCAATTGTTATATTTTGTGAAATTTATTTTTTGCTTGACACACATGCATAAGTATTTTTAGATATAGCATAAAAAATAATAAAAGTTGAGAAGTTAGAATTAATCTTGATACATCATTTAAACTATGACTATTCAAATTTCGCTTAAGATTCTATAACTACTAGATTCATACCCGTGTGTTGCACGGCCAATAATATGTTATAGAATGAGCATTATAGTTTATTTAAGCTTTCCATATATGCGAATAGATTAGTATTAGGAAATGATATACACTGAAATTGATGAGAAATCTAAAAATTATTGTTCAGCATTGAAGTGAGAACGAAAAGACTACATAACAAATTACTATAATGTTCACATGTTATGAAAAACTTTTGTATGAACTACATTTTCGTCACACATTAATATTAAATCATTATGATCTGTGACTCTTAGTACTGCAACATATAATTGTCTATGACTGAATATAGGCTTTTAGAGAAGAATTTTCGCGCGAGACAATGATTGACCTTGTCTTTTGTTTATTGTTATTGCATATGATCATTATTGTTCGATTCTGTTGTTTTTTAGGATGGAATCTCTATTTCCGGAGTATTTGCAGTTGATACCCAAATCTCCAATTTCAAGTTTCGAATCCTTAAACCTGTAATATCACTTTTTTAAGCATGCATGACGTTTGGATCACCCAAATATAAGATTTGTGCTATGATTTTTTATATTCAATTTCTTCTTCTTTTTTTTTTTTTTTCAAGTGCGAAGGAAGAAAGATTCAATACTGTGTCAATAGCATGTAATTTAGGGAATGATATCAGTAAGAAGTGCTGATTTTACATTTTTCTAAATTCAATTTTTAAAATTATCGAGTAGATGTAAAATACGGAGTATTAGTTTTTAAAGCATCATGGGGTTTCGATTGCCCAGATCTAAATTTCCTATCTACAATAGTTCTTTACTTTTTTTATATTTTGATTTTTATTCAGGATCGGAAACACGAAGTTTGAGTTTTGGTTCAAGACTATAAGATTAGAGGAAATGATATCGGTAAGTTGTGATTATCTACATTTTTTCATCATTTACTTATCTAAGTGTTCTGAAAATTCTCACAAACACAGGAAAAATGTTATGCATGAAAGATTTAGCTTTACAACCGATAAAGTGATGTTTATATAATATGAATCGTTTTCTCGATCAAAATAGAATTAAGAAATAGAGAATAATCTGACTCTACCTTCAGTAAATGGTGATTTGTTTTGTTTGGTTCCAATTATTTTTCCTGATTTTGTCTATTTCTTCATGAGTGCACCATTTTTGAAGTATTAAAAGACATTTTTGGAATAGTATATTCTTTTTTGATTAATATTGAAACATCGCAGTCTTACCTGCAAATGAAGATAAAAGAAATGAAGTGTTAATTATATGCCAGAAATGTTTTTCTATAGAAAATGTATTTCAAAGCAAGTCATTGCTATTTTTATACATGTTTGTTGGACTTAAAACATTGATACTCTTATAGAATAGTATACATTTTGTTTTCTTGTAGGAAATCACATTCAAATCATAGAGGAAACTATTTGAGATTTGATTAAAAGTGGTACGATTGTTGAGTCCTTAACTATATTAAGACAGATGTTTTTTAAAACATAGAGAAATATGGAAACCTTTGTTTGGATACTAAGGAGAAGGTGTAAAAGAAAATCAGAAGTGTGAAAATGTGATGTACAACTTATGGAGAAGATCAAAAGCTATCAATTGATTATATCATTTATTACTCTTGAGCGGAAACTACTACTTTTTATTTTTTTATTTTTTTCCCCTCCCAATTCTTTTGCTTTTGTATAGAAAGTATAGATTAGTTAAACACTTCACACATAAAGTGAAATAAACATTTAAATAAGAATAAAAGAAGTATAAATTTGACCTTAAAAAGTACTCGTAATTGTATATAAGATTTTCGGATGAAAGAATTAATACTCGGTACATTACTTTGCTATTATTATCAATGATGTTATTAACACAGGTATGCAGCTTTTGAGTGAATGAAGGGATAAATTTTTTTTTGAAATCACTAACTTATAAATTTATAAAAAAATGAGATGCTATTTTCTATATTGATATAATCATGTGCCTATAAAAATCACTCTTTCCATACGAGGTCTAATATATCTAATATAATAGTAGTTGAGTGGGAGTGGGCGTAAAGGCTGTGAACGAATGGTCTGTTTGACATCGTCTGCATAATAAAAGAGAATCGTCTGTGAAAAAATCGGCTGTTAGAGAATGCGCTGCTAGTCTTAACAGGTCTGGGACTTAGACTTAAGGAATCGAATAGGCAGCTTGACTCATCTCTGCGCTTACTTACGCTTCGAGCGCCTTAAATAAAAAGATTCTATTTTTGGACAATGATAATAAGGTACACCTAGCAAATCATATAGAATAGAATATTATTACTATAATAAAGAAGAACTACTAGTATATGGGAAGAAGGAGCTATTGAATCCCTTGTTTAAAGGCTATCCATTCTTTCTTATTGATTGGTGAAAACATCCATCCGGCTAGCTGACGAGGCTGTGAACGAATTGGTGTAGATGAATAGAATAAGAACTCTCCTAAGCTTTACTACCCTGAAGTCTGATCTCTTGATAACTTTTATTTATTTTTATATTTTTGTTGATAATTTGATAAAATAAAATATTGTTATTGCCTCTTATTTTATAGAAGTTTTGATATACTTTTTAAATATGTAATTTATAAATTTTTTATATATGCAACTTAATTTATAAATAAAATGGTATCAAAAGATATTAGATTTGTATATTACCAAGTGAGACTATTAAATGGTAAATAGATTTGTATTCAATAATTAAATGGAGAATGAGAAAGCAATCAATTGCATTGCATTAATTAATACGGAGTATGTAATACAGTATAAAATTGATAAGTGCAAAAGACTGTTACAATTAATGAATTGAGACACAATTAATCTAGTTCACACACACCACCAAACGATGTGATAATAGCCTTTGATCCATCTAGAAAATCAGATCAATGGACCATATTTGCCAATGTTTTGGGCGGGAAAACATCATTTTCGTCCTTTTTATCTTTTTTTTCTCTTCCAATTCTTTTGCTTTTGTATATAGTATAGATACGAAAATCAATCAAACATGAATCTAAATTTCCTTTAAAATTCGTTTCAAATTTGAATACATATTAAGAAGTATTAAAATAAATCCAAACAAATATAAATCCATCCAAGCTATCAAAATTCTAGAGTATTCGAAAACGGAAGGGATGCCAACCACAAACGGCCGTTATTTGCAAAGATTGAAACGACGGAAGAGTTTAGAAGCTTCAAGAGACTACCGCGAGTCAGCGAACGTTCTCCGCATATTCCAGAAGCGTTAGCGTTTTGAAAAAGCTATCGACGGACAGCATTTAGCGTTAGCATTTTTAAAGTAATCTGCACCGTTAAAATTTTATCCAAAACGCTAATCTCTAACGCTATTCCCAAACAGACCCGAAATCTATGGGCCATTTGGCAAAAGTTTTACTCCGTAATAGAGACTGATTAATTTTATTATTTTGAAAAAAATTCTATTGAAAATAATAAATATATTTTTTCGTCCCAAATTATGGTTCTAAAATTTTACGGTAATAACTTTTATTTGCCATATATTTTTATTAATCTTTTAAAAAAATAAAACAGACATATCACTACATATTTTGTACTTTTTATTTCCATACCAATTTACTGATATGTATTGTACATTTTTATTTTAGTTTTTAAATATATAAATTGTATGTTTTATTTCTATACAATTTGTAATTAAAATCATTTTAAATGAGATAGAATTTTGTACGCTAGTCAAAACATGACGTTAATTTTGGAAGCTAGATCGTACTTCTTCTATCCCTTAAAGTCTTTTTCCGTTTTGACTTTTAAAAAATTAAGAGAGAGATATTTTTGTATTGATTTTCCAAAAACATCTTTGATGTGATAGCTTAAAATATGGTGCGATTAGTAGATAATTACTAAAAACGTATGATGTGGTAGGTAGAATAAGAATTATTAGAGTAAACATGGTTTTTTAAAAGAAATATGAATGACTTCCTATGACAAAGAAAAAAGAAGAAGTTTATGAGACGAATGAAGTATATTTTAATAAGTCTAATAAAATCAAAATATTAATTTTTTTCAACGATATCTTTTTCATCAATGAAAAAACCAACATCAAACACTAACTTTAGTTTTTTTTTTAATATTTTAAAGCAGCTAAAATTAATCAAATAAGCTAAAATTTGGGTGAAGGACCAAATTTCTTGTAAACCTTCCTTACAGTTTGTTATCTTTAATATAATATTATTACTTACCCTTGGTCTCCTTTGGTCTCAGTTTACGATGTTTGAGTGAAATTGTTTTCAATGCAATTTATAAGAGAGTTGGAGCGGAATTAAAAAATAAACCTTACATGTAAAAAACTATATCGAAAGTACTACGAAACAAAAGATGACACGACTATATTATTTAATCAAATAAGTAAAAGAAAGTGAATGAAGTCTCACAGTGTGAATAGTAAAATGCAAACTAACTCAAGAGTGAGAGTGTATTACTTAATAATTATTGTTATTGAAATCAGATCAGATCACATCAATAACAATTTTAAATACAACTGCAATTAGATTATATCAAAAAAACATATTTCGATATAAGACTGCCTAATGTGTAAGAAGGAACTTGACCACCCTTCTTCACACCCTCGCACTCACTTCCCTCTCATTACACATTCTGGCGGGAGCAAGTGAAAGAGTCGGAGGCGTGATCTTCATCACGAAGTGATGGTCGAGAGAGAACCAATCACTTTTTTTCTTGTTTTTTTAAATAAAATTAACTCAATCAAAACAATCTATTCACTCTTTTATGGTAGGATTTCACAACATACTTTCTCTTTATTTGAAATTACCAATCATTACTATTCTTATGTAATGTCTACGCGACACATGATCAAGCCCCATAATTTACACCACACACATACTCTAGAAAAAATGAAGTGTCAGTGGTCGTTGCATAGTTGGCAAGACAAAAGATGCATAAGAGTAATACCTAAGTTCGAATCTTGTCATATGTGTTTGAATGCAACTACGCGAAGCATATGATTTTTTCAGGAACAGGTGATGGCTTCATCACCTTGGCTTCATCACCTGTCACCAATTTGTGATTAATGCTTAAACTTACTTTCTTTTTAAGTGACCATATGATCAGTTATGAGGAACTCTTATTAATTTTTTTTATATAAAAAATTGGATTACTTTTTAATGTGAAATTAATAAGAATACTCACTCTGTCCATAATTTATCTTCAAACTCACCTTATTTGTCTGTCTATAAATTATCTTCTCGTTTTTTTTACAGAATTTTTTTTCTTTAAAACACATCACTACCATCATCTTTACACATTAATTACTATCTATATATACACTTTATTTAACTTTATGAAATGACCCAAAAATCATTAGAAGTCAAAACATTCTTTTTTTTTTGATAATTTGCGTGTAAAGTAAAAACTGAAAAATTATTTTTGAAATGAGGGAGTGTTGGAGTAAGATAAAGAGATTTAGGATGAGGCGCTTTATATACCACGGCAAAGCCCTATACCCTAGTCAGTCACGATAAAACGTTTTTAAGCACTCGCCGCTAAAGCCCTCACCACTCCACACTCATTTCATTTCTACACCACTCAACTCTTTTCTCGCTCAATCTTCTTCGTCGTCTCCGTGCCTCCTATCCTAGAATCCAGGTTTCACCTCTCCATCTCCGCCCTGGTAACCTTCAACCCATTACTATCTCGATTGCATATAGTTTTGATTCATTGTTTGTTTTTGAATATTTCCGCGTTGATTGTTATTCTTTGTTGTGTGTTTTTATTGAATTTGAGAAATTTTCTGCCCAGGACTATTGTATCTTAGATTTGATCATCCAAATACGTGTTTGATTTCGCTCCCGAGTATATTACTCCGTCAATTGTTTTGGAAAATACTGTATTTGACCATTCCTGTTGGGTTTTTGTTTGTATGAGTATTGGATTGATCTTTTAGTGTAGTTTTTTAATGGATCTGCTTAGTTATTGTTCGATTTTATATGTATTGTAATGCAATGTTGTTGTTGATTAGTTAGATTATACCGATTACATTGGTTATGCACTGAAAATGATGTTATGAAAGGAA